TTTTAAATATTATAAAAACTTATTTTTAAAAAATTATAAATATCAGTTATATTAATATATATAATTTACATGGCCTTAATAGATCAATAAGCAACTATAACCTCACCCTTTCAAGCAGTATGGTTAATTATGATTGCATAAATATTTGCTAATGTTACATAAAAAATATAAATATAATTTTTTATCAAAAAATTAATAATGATAACTATTAATTGATATTTATAAAATAGTTAATATCTAGTACTTAATAATTTAAAATTAATTTATATATTAATATTTTTAAATATTTTAATTCATTATAATTGATACAATTAATTAAATATCTGTAACCATGGAACCCAGCATACCCTATTGAAATCGCTATAATTGTTTGGAGGGCATCAATTTCTGTCACGACTCAAGATTTAAATGGCCTATTGAAAGGGGTGTGATAATGGCAACTAATTTTTTTTTTTTTAACAAAGCCATCAAAATTATGTTTCAAAAATATTAATTTTGTTTAATTTAATTTTTAAAATTAATTAATAATTAATAGAAGAATTTATATTTATTATTTAACAAATAAAATTTATTTATAAATTAATATTTTTAAATATCATAATTATTTATTAAAAAATTACAAATATCAATCAAATAGAATATAATTTTGATGATCTCAATAAATGAGTTGATAGCTATAATTGAGTTGAGGTTATTGTCATCAATACTTTCGTTAAAGTCATTAATTTTAATTATAATTTTTTTAATTCATGTTTTTTTAAAATAATTAATTATGATATTTAAAAATATTTTTTTATAAACTCATTTCAATTTATTAAATAATATGTATTGGTTACTATTTTATTAGTTATATGTTATTTTTAATAATTAAATTAAAATAAAAATTTAATAATTTTAATAACATTAATAAAATTAATAGTTGTAATAATCATAGCCTATTGAAAGAGGCAAGAGGAGAGAACTATGAATTAACAATTTTCGCTTGACCTTAATTAAGATACGGGAAATCTGCCTCCACGGTTCACACGCCTGTTATTGGTTGTTGTCGCGGGGCACACCTAAGATCATATAATAATTTCCTCAAAAAAAAAAA